ATGTTGAACTTACTAGAGAAAGTATTGAACGATTAGTCCTTCGTAGCTTGAGTGGTTTCTACAAGAATGAATTTCATCAAGTAAAAACATCATTACAGAAAAGTTTCAAAAAAACGCCCAATAATTATTTGGTAGATAGGAATTTTAAGAAATTCCTTGACTTGTTAGTAGCCTGTCAAGGACTTTTGCCCCGAATGTTGGTTTTTGAGTGTTTAGGTTTTTCTGATGACATCAATTTTGAAGATATTATTAAAAATATTGAAACGATATCTCAGATTTTGCCAGTTTAGGATGATTGTTTAACCGTGTATCATAAATCGCTTATTGATTGGTTGAAATCAGCTGGTTGAGAAAGACACGAGTTTACTATTAATTCTCAGTCTATACTAAACGGGTATCAATTCTTAGGGCGTGCTTGTGAGAAAGAGTTTCATCATATTAAGTCGAAAAACATTTTTGAAGATGAAATGAACACTGCTATGACTAAATATGCTTTGATGAATGGGATTTATCATATGATAGAATGTGGTAAAATTCAAAAAGAGGAAGTTTCTTACATGACGTTCAAGATCAAAACTTGCCACATGGAAAAACCTCCGTGAAAACACTATCCCAATTGGCCAAATGCAAGTTGAATTTTGTGAATTCAACCCTTAATGAAATACTCTCACGATTAACATTACTTCTATAGAAGCATTATTGGCAACGCTTGCTTAATAATCAGGACACTTTTTTTTAAAAAAATCTTGTTAAAACATCTTATTGTTCAGAAAAAAGTTTATTTGAACTTGGGAATTCAGTTTCTTTCGAAATTTTTATTTCTGTTTTAATTTGTTGAAAAAACTCAAGATTATAAAGTTTTACGAAGTTTTTATCTTCATGTTGATTTTTCAAGATCATTTACATTCCGTTACACTTCTAGAAACAGGAGCAAAAGTAGAACAATTATTGGGAGGGGGGGGGGTAGAATACTCTATTGGACTGACTTCTTTTGGCAGTTGTACTGGAAGACTAAAAGCTTGCTGCGTGCTTTTTTAAACTTGGTTGAAAGATACACTTTTCTTATAGCCACTTGTTTTTTTCTTTCTTTCACATCTTTTCCTAATTCTTATACGTATACATAGTTCCAATATCAAATATAGTACATAAAATGGTTGATTAAAGTGTATTTAACGGGATTATTTGAGAAAACGACTAACTTCATTGAAAAAGTGAAGTATTTCAGAACTACATTGGTAAGGTCTAGATATTTTTCTTATTGATTTTAAAAATGTTAAAGGAATCATTACACATAATTCTTGATTATGTGTAATGATCACCTACACTTTAAGAAAGGCCCGAAAATTCAAACCTGAAGGGGAGGGTGGCTACGACTTATAGCTAGGATACATACTGCGTCTCACTTTGCGTCAAGTTAAGCTAAATATATGATTGTTAGCAAAAATTTTATCTTTGAAAAAAGGTGGAGAGCTCAAACTCCTTACTCCAAGCACCTCCTCTTGCTCCATGCATGCACTTTAACCCACATAATTGGAATAATTATCTTTATGTAATCAATGTCTAAGCATTAACATTAGGTTTGAAGAATTATGTAGCATTGACCTCACTGATTATTTCCCATTTCCTTTAGCCTTGTTTATTGAAATAGTAAGTACCACCGTAATGTGACATGCATAACGTCTGCAACAATGTCCTTATACAAAACAAATAACTGTAATACTTTAAAATTAAATCATGAGTTCTGTGCCTGAGCATGTCATTTGTGCAAAGCTCAAATTCTTTAAAACAATGTGATCTTTTTGACCTTTGTGTAAACCCAGCTGTACGCATGCTGCGTAACTATTTTAAGACTTTCATATTAATAAAGCAACATCAAGTTTTTCACCAAATTACTAAGTTTCGTTATTCTCGAGCATAACGAAAAAAAATTTCAATACGAAAGATGAAAAAATAAGCAAGCAATCAAGATTATTTTTTTGTTTGCTAAATTTATACATAAAAATTAGACTTGTCCAGTTGGTAGATATAGAAGCTTGCTACTTTCACGGTGGTTTTTTAATAAATTTCTTATCAATGAACGTTCTAGTTACGCCTCTGATCGTAAATTCATTTGCAATTACAGCAAGTAGAGGGCCACTCAACATAATTGATCATCTTTCAAATAAGCGGACACTTAACATTTGCATGAATCAGCAATATAGAACTCCCAAGGAGGCGTAAACATCATTGACAAGACCCTCACGCAATATTGTTTTTAAAAGGACTTGCGGTCTCTTGGAGATCAATTATTGCTGAATCCTAAAAATTCTAAACGTCGTTGGATTTCAAACATGCGCAGTTGTTTTGAGAAACCTTATAGAAAGATGACGTGGTTAACAATTATCTGTTACACCTTAAATTCCCTTGTACGAACCACACAGGACGTACTCATTGAAATCGTCATCTAGAACTAATTATAAATTTCAAAATTTTGGCTAATAAATGCAATAAAATATGAAATGCTAATGACTTTTATTCTGGGTATTAATTACAAATGATGACACACCTAAAAACTGGCCAATCAAAATGCAACACGTTGGGCAGCTTTGCCATACTTGAAGATTTACCCATTTGAGAACTTGTTATTTGAATTATTACAACAGTACGTGCAAGATGAGTGTTTGATAGAAGTTGCAACAGTTCGTTGACTGTGATACGCATATCTTTTACAGTTTTTCGAAGCCACACTCAGGTAAATTTGTCTTTGGAACTTCTTGTAAATGAGGAATTTATCTCTCGTTGATCAAAGTGTGTATGAACGGCATTGTTTTCTTATCCTTAAAAAATACGAAACTTGAGTTTTTCCATAAAATTTCCTTTTTTATAACTGATGTTTGTTCTCTGCTTGATTTTAGACTTAAACTTATATATTCACGACGCGATTGTGGACACGTTTATCATAACGAAGTTGATAATTTTTCCCGTTTGAGACGAAATGGTTTTTGTAATAACAAGAAGATTTTGCTATGCAGCAGTAGATTCTGTAATTTTGGTTGAAATTCAACTTATTTGTATTCATCGACAAATAATCACTAAACGTGATCGATATACATTCAACAAATGATGATGGCTTATATTCAAGACGATGGTGGACAAGTATAAATAAAGAAGTTGACTAATTTTCACGATGGATATGTATTTGGCTTTTGTCAACCATTCCCTTGAGGCTGAGCTACACATAATAACAAAACGTTTGTGTAATGCAGCATTGGATTCTGTAATTTTTGCTTAAATTCTACTTCTTTTGAGCTGCCTTAAAACTGAATAAATTGTTCGTAGTAAGTAAATTGTCTTTTCTTCCTTAATATTTTTATCATAATTTTTGCAAAAAGTTTAACTGCATTTATTAAATGAAATTATTAACTTTGACTACGCTATTCTTCTAGAAACCCAATAAACAATGTTTGAGAATGGACACTATATTCTCTGGTGGGTATTAAAGTTGGAAAGCGCTTTGTTCATGGTTTAGCTATAAATGACAAACTACGAAAGCAAAAATGGAATACAATCGAGAGGAACGACTCCATCAGCTGAGCACAGTGTTCACAGGGGGAACCACTATTTTACTGGACTATGGCTTTTTGAGACGTGTTTCCTTAGTTTTTGTCCTACTGTGATTACGATTCCTGCCTTGTAATCGCAAAGACAGGTCTCGAAACTTCACCACTCATAAATTTTAAAATTAATTGAAATGAAAATTTTTCGGTATAAAAACTTGGTATTTCTTTTTTCGAAAATTGAAAACTAAAAATCCTAATTTTCCGACTGACTGTCAAGATTTTTGATTTTATGCCGTATGCGACATGCGCAGTTGTACGAAATGGCCAATCTTGCTTCTGTGCTTGCCGTCATCGACATAAAACCGGGGATGTTCGTCAGGTAGCCGGAAAATTGGATACCATGAATGAACCATCAACGTTCTAAATTTTTTCAAATAAATTTTGGGCATCCACGTGGTTTTACCTGCTGAACATCTGATCACTTACAATTGGTAAGAGTTCGTCGTTCGTCGTTCGTTGTCGGTCGTAAAAGGATGCCTGAGCAGAGATTCGCCGAAAACCGTGAGTGTACTTTGTCCTTACGTAGTAAAGCCTGCTAACAGGCCAAGTCTCTAAAAAAATTCTGGTGATACTCAAAAAAATCCTGGTGCGCAGTATATTCTACTGTGAGACTTTTTTTAATGCAAAGAAACTAATAAATGCATTTTCCTGTTGAAGTTCTCACGTGCATATTAAAAAATAGTCTCGTTCAAGAGGCTGTAGAAATTTTCTTTTTGATTCAAACAATTCGTTTGCGATTTAGTTTAATATAATTTAATTCGTTTTTACTTTTGTTTTGGTAAAATTTGTTCTTTAATAAGTGTAATATTTGTGTAAAGGAAAATATCTCTCCCCTAGTACGGTAAAAGCATGCAGTCGTTGTAGTTAGCCAATTTCATGAACGGCTTTCTACGGTGACTATTAAGGCACTCCTAGATACCCTATAATGCATGAGTAGTTCAACCGAGCCCAGTCGGAGGTCACCCGTACGTGCGACAACCACTATGTTAGGTTAAGTTAAGGGCATGATGGGTTACCTCCTTCAATGGGCATTCCTTTTCAGGGCGGAATGCTGGTGTCATGCGCAGGTAGGGAGTTCAGATAGTTTAGGCATTCGCTGTAGTTGCTGCGGGTAGATGCTACGCTCAGATAACATGTGTGGGGTTAGTACCTTTAAAAATTTAAAGTACGAGCTCCACTCTTTAAGAGATGACTAAAATTTAAAAAATTGGAAGCAAATTTCAATCTTAATTTTAGTCATTTATTCTTCAAAAAATTGAAGCTTTAGAAACGTATTCAGTTTGTTAAGACATTTACAGTTTTAGGAGCGGCTTGGCAATCGAACGATTCGAATGTTATCGCATCGCAGCTGGCTTAGACGAAAAAGATGATAAAGTACAAATCAATACTTTGGTATATGCTATGGAAGGCAATACCAATAATCTTTTAAAAAGCTTTCAAATAAGCGAAAGAGATATGGTGTACGGAAATGTTGTAGAACAATTTGCATCGCACTTTGTTGGTCGATCGAACACAAGTTTCGAGCGTGCTCGGTTCAATAAACGAATACAGGGTGAAAAAGAATCAGTCATCGACTTTGTAGAAGATTTGTACAAACTGGCGGAAACTTGCCAATTTGGAACACTAAAAGACGAGTTGATACGAGACAGAATTGTCGTCGGTATACAAAATGCAAACCTTTCACAAAGGCTAATGCAAGATGATAAATTAACATTGGAGAAAGCTATTAGGGAGGTGAAATCATCGGAGCTTGTCAAGCACCATCACGATATTCTAAAAGGAGACAGCGAAAATGGGCTGATTGGTCGCGTAAGAACAAATCAACGAAAAGGTAATGATACGACACAAAAATCGAAGTTAAAATGGAATCAGAATAGGAGTCCCGATCAACATTCGAGAAAGAAAAACCGTCAACGTTCTCGATGTGGAAGATCAACAATTCACAAAAGAGAGGATTGTCCAGCGAACAATAAAACTTGTTTAAAGTGTAATAAAGAAGGGCATTTTGCAGCCGTATGCAGAAGTAACTCAAGCGCAAAAATTCAATCAGTTGATGACAAAAGCACGGATTCCCCAGGAGATTTTTTTCTTGGGACAATTAGCGATATAGAAAATGAGCGAAAATGGGCAATCGATTTATTATTAGGAAAGTCTACAGTGAAATTTAAAATTGATACGGGCGCTGATGTGACGGTGATTCCAGAACCGGTGTTTGTGCAAACAGGCATAACTCGGATGCAATCAACTAATAAAGAATTGTTCGGGCCAAATCAAGCAAAGCTGTCAGTAAAGGGAAAAATTCGAGCAACATTGAGAACTGCTACTTCAAAAACAACAGAGCAAGATATTTATATTGTGAAAAATTTGAAAGAGCCATTGTTGGGACGTCAAGCTATCAATGCCCTTGATCTAATAGCGACAGTCGAAGCGATTCAGTCAAATGATGCAAGTGATATGGAAGAAGAAATAAAGGCTACTTATCCAAACTTGTTTAAAGGTCTGGGTGAATTAGACGGAGAATACAACATCAAATTAAAACCTGGTTCTATCCCATTTGCGTTAACCACACCTAGAAGAATACCTTTAACGATGACAAAGAAAGTTCATGATGAATTGACGCGCATGGAAGAACTTGGCGTTATTTCAAAGGTTAATATTCCTGCCGATTGGTGCGCTGGTATGGTTGTTGTTCCAAAAGCAGATGGTAAAATAAGGATCTGTGTTGATTTCACAAAGTTAAATGAGTGGGTCTTGCGAGAAATTTATCCACTTCCGAAGATCGAAAGTCTTTTGGCAGAAATAAGAGGATCAGAATATTTTTCGAAGCTAGATTGTAACTCTGGTTTCTGGCAAGAAAAACTAGAACAAAACTCTCGTTTGTTAACTACATTTATTACTCCGTTCGGAAGATTCTGTTTCAACAGAATGCCTTTCGGTATTAAATCTGCACCTGAGCATTTTCAGAAAAGAATGAAACAGATGCTGGAGAAACAAGATGGTCAAGTAAGCACAATTGACGACGTACTTGTTCATGGAAAGACAAAAAATGAACACGACAGTAGACTGAAAGCTGTGCTGAAAAAATTTGACAATGCTGGAGTAACACAAATCCTGAGAAGTGTGAGTTTGCTAAGAAGATGGTAAAGTTTGCAGGTAATATAGTGAGTGAAGATGGAATTCAAGTAGACCCAGAAAAGATTGAAGCAGTACAAGGTATGGAAGTGCCACAAAATGTGAGTGATGTGCAAAGATTTTTGGGAATGGTTAATCAATTGGGAAAATTCATTCCAAATTTGTCTGAAAAAACAAAACCTATTAGAGATCTATTGAGTACAAAGAATGAATTTCAGTGGGAGGTGCTCAACAAAAAGCTTTTGAAGAGATGAAAACTGAATTAAGTTCTGTACCAGTTTTAGCCTATTATGACCCAACGAAGCGAACTGTTTTGGCAGCCGACGCATCGTCGTATGGTATAGGAGCAGTTCTTTGGCAATTAAATAAGAAAGGAGAAAAGAAACCAGTCGCTTATGCGTCAAGATCAATGACAACTACCGAAGAACGATATGCTCAGATTGAAAAGGAAGCATTGGCAACAACTTGGGCTTGTGAGAAATTTAATGATTATATTTTAGGAATGGATTTTGTGATAGAAACTGATCATAAACCCTTGGTTCCTCTGCTTGGCTCGAAGATATTAGACCAACTTCCTCCAAGAATACAGAGATTCAAGATGAGGCTGATGAAATATTCGTTTACTATTCGTCACATACCAGGAAAAGAGTTGGTTGTAGCGGATGCATTGTCTCGAGCTCCTATTATGAAACAACCTACAAAATCTGATAACAATTTATCCCAAGATTTGAACATTTATGTTGCACAGATTGTTCAAAACATACCAGCTAGTGAGAGAAGGCTAGAAGAAATTCGCCGACACCAACAAGAAGATCCGGTTTGTACGAAACTTGTGGAATTTTGTTCGGAAGGTTGGCCTGACCGAAATCGAATTACTAGTACCTTGTTACCTTATTACTTTGAAAGAGCAACAATTACAATGCAGAAAGGAATGTTAATGAAAGACTCCGCTTGATAATTCCATCATCGCTACGTTTAGATATTCTAGAAAAGATTCATGCTGGCCATCAAGGCATCCGTAAGTGTCGTGAAAGAGCAAGAGAATCTGTTTGGTGGCCGGGACTAAGTAAGCACATTGAAAACATGGTTACTGATTGTTCCATTTGTTGTAAATACAGAGAAAATCATGCTGAGCCGTTACTAACAACGTGTTTTCCTCAACGACCGTGGCAGAAAGTTGCTACAGACTTGTTTGAACATAGCGGAAAAAATTATGTGCTTGTAGTAGATTATTATTCTAGATATTTTGAAATTGCTCCTTTGAAAAAAAGCACAACTGCAGAAGATGTTATCAATCATATGAAATCCATATTTTCTCGTCATGGTATACCAGAAACAGTTGTGTCGGATAATGGTCCACAGTATGCTGCAGCTATTTTTTCCAAATTTGCTGAAGAATGGGGATTTACACATTTAACAAGTAGTCCTCGCTATCCTCAAAGTAACGGAGAAGCAGAAAGAGCTGTAAAAACTGCGAAGAACTTAATCATAAAATCCGAAGATCCTTATTCAGGTTTACTTGCATACAGATCATCACCATTGCAGAACGGGTACTCACCAGCAGAATTATTAATGGGGAGGAAATTACGTTCTAATCTACCAGTAATATCCGAAAAGTTAACTCCAAAGCTTGTTGATACGGCAAAATTGAGAAGAGACGAAGAAAGTTACAAACGACGTCAAGCAGAAAACTTTAATTGTCGTCACAGAGCTTCAGTCCTTCCAGACTTGAGTCCTGATGAAAAGGTTTGGGTAAAAGATATAAAATCACCAGCTGTGGTTGTGGGAAAAACCGATAAACCAAGATCATATATAGTCAGGACAGAGCAATCTGTTTTAAGAAGAAATAGAAAACATCTTATCCCTGATCCTGAAAATCTGAGGGAAAACAGTGAGTTGAACGAAAGAAGAAATCTGAGTTTCAGTGATAAGAACGAAGTGAACGAATCTTCAAGTAGTTTGGACAATGAACAGGAATCGAAGGTAATTCGAACCCGTTCAGGAAGAATTATTAAACCCCCAAATAGATTGAACTTAGAAAACTTTTGAAAGACATTTTGTATAGTTATAGGTATAAATATTTATTATTAATTAGTTATTCTTTATATTAAAAAGGGAAGATGTGTAGACGTCACTTCCTGTTAAATATTACTTCCGCTTATAATGTATATATATAGAGGACATTTAGATAAGAAGGCGCTTAATAAAAACTCTACAAAGAGCCCAACAAAATTGACCTGCTCACCACTGTGTGACTTCATAGCTCAGTTGGTCAGAGCACTGCACCGGCACGGCAGAGGTCATGGGTTCGAATCCCGTTGAGTCACCTGATTTTTTCAGGTCCTGAGACGATTGCTTAAATTGTCCAGCAAAGTGCGAAGATCATATCTTCATTTAATTTCAAACACCGCGCTGCATAAAACATTCATACGACATTCCTTTCACGAGAAAACAAGAGCCCAACAAAATTGACCTGCTCACCACTGTGTGACTTCATAGCTCAGTTGGTCAGAGCACTGCACCGGCACCGCAGAGGTCATGGGTTCGAATCCCGTTGAGTCACCTGATTTTTTCAGGTCCTGAGACGATTGCTTAAATTGTCCAGGAAAGTGCGAAGATCATATCTTCATTTAATTTCAAACACCGCACTGCATAAAACATTCATACGACATTCCTTTCAAGAGAAAACAAGAGCCCAACAAAATTGACCTGCTCACCACTGTGTGACTTCATAGCTCAGTTGGTCAGAGCACTGCACCGGCACGGCAGAGGTCATGGGTTCAAATCCCGTTGAGTCACCTGATTTTTTCAGGTCCTGAGACGATTGCTTAAATTGTCCAGCAAAGTGCGAAGATCATATCTTCATTTAATTTCAAACACCGCACTGCATAAAACATTAATAGTGGCTTATATAATTATATTCACAACCATGATGGACACGTATAACTTGATCATTCTTCACAATGAAGACGTGTTTTGCTTATGCTAATCGTTTCGCTAAGGCTGTGTGGCCTATAATAAAAAAAAAATTTGTGCTACGCACTTGTATATTCTGTAGTTTTGATGGAAAACATACTTCCTTTGAGCTGCTTTACACTGAATAAATTGTTCATGATAAGTATATTTTTTCTTCTTCAATATTTTTATCAGAATTTTTGGAAAAATTTTATATTGTTTATATTGTGAAGGGAAATTATTAACTTTGACTACGCTATTCTTCTAGAAATCTTATAAACAATGCTTGAGAATGGACAATATATTCTTTGATGAATTTTAAAGCTGGTCAACGCCTCCTTCCAAGGTGTAGCTATAAATGACAAACTACGAAAGCAAACATAAAATACAATCGAGAGAAACATATTCATTAGCTCAACACCTGTGTTCATTGAGAAACCACTCTGCTTTTTGACTATCACTTTTTGAAACGGGTCTCCTGTGTATTTGTCCTGCTAAGATTACGATTCTTGCCTGGTCAATTGCGAAGACAAGTCTCTAAACCACGCCGTTCACAAATTTCTAAATTAATTGAAATGAAATTTTTTCCGTATATAAACATGGTATTTCTTTTTTCGAAAATTGAAACCTAAAAGTCCCAATCAGGCCGTATGATGAGCATCGAAAAGATGTTCAGAAAACGGATTCCGTTGCACCCCTCTCGAGGCTACATAATTTTTACATGAGTAGATAGATAATAATCTCCTCAACCAGAATCTGGCCGTTGTTCCCCATGCGAAACAGGTGCACAATTGAGAGAAATCTTCCTTCAAAGTTTGCGATTTACACGTATTGATAAATTTGAGCTGTCGTTATTTTTTGCTATCTACTCATGCACACACTTGCGAAACTCGTTCTGCGCAAACACACTTTGCGCATTTTGCTTCTAAGTTGAAACATTCTTGTCATTAACAAAACTATAATGGAGAAAGTTACACTGGAGTTACTTGACGAACTGGGCATTTAGACGGTGTTATGGAGTGACTTCGCAGACTTGCATCTCGAAGGCTGAAAGATTTCTTGAGTTAAGATCAAAATGGACAAAACGTAAGGGTCAACAAGTTTAAATAGATAAGCAATAGTATGAAAACATCAATAAATTCATACAAAACAACCCTTTGAGCATTGACTTGGTATCAAAAAATTGCGCATCAATCAGTCCCTGAAGCCAAAGACCATTTCTTAGAGAAGCAAATATGAAATGTATACTCCCAAATATATTTGAGGAAGAGACACATCTTGGTTCACAATGAACAAGCTATGATAACTTGGATAACTGTAAATACTACATAATAGTTTTTACTGCATTGTAAGGTTTAGTTGTGAATTATCTAACAATATTTATTTAGTTCTATTTAAGTTATTATTAGTTAAATTCAGGGCAATAACAACGCCAGACCATGTAAATGACCATGTAAATCTGTAAATTTAAAAGACCATGTAAATCGGCCTTAAAGGCATTGCAAGTCTGTAAAACAGTTGTGAAGCATTGTGAATCTGCATTAAAAGCATAGCATTTGTTATGGCTCTCAGACAACTCACAAATTCGGATTCAGTAATTTCTTTACTAAGTTGCTTGGGATATTGTATATAAAATTCTCTTGTATTAAGACTCACGAGACTGCTCTTGCACAGATGAATATATCGAATAAAGGACTGCTGAATGTATTCTGAATATAGAGGAATATATCCTGCTATTCCCTTAGGCCATGGCCATAAGAAATTTTCCAACTATTCTGGCTTAGGATATTGATGATTTTTCTGAAAACTGGAAAAGTAGCAACTCATATAATTGAAGTATTGCTTTTGATATGGAACAAAGTACAGGGAGTACAGAGAGAAAACATACCAATGTCAAGTGCCAACAACGACACCAGTCTTCGTTTTGGGGGGAAAGAAAAACTGTAGATTGTATATTGCCATGCAGAACAGGGAATTTAAAGAAGAAATTTATTTGCTGGCACAGGTTGATGCTAAAAAGAAAAACCTTTCATTCTGCCTTTGTATGTATTATAAGC